TGTCATTTGACAATGACCCCAAAAAATCAGATTTTCGGTTTTCCTTTCCTACAGCAACCTTAAAAGGTTTTTGTCGTCTCAAACTTTCGAGACAAATTGTGACAAGAATAAATTGCAAAAGAATTTTTTAATGAAATATTTGTGAAAGCCAAAGTTTTTCGGTTAGGTTTCATCTTACTATCGATAAATTAATTTTCTGACAAGATTGGTTTGAACTTCATGGGAATTTTTTCAACTTTATAATTCATCGATAAAGATATTTTCACACATTTTAGAGACTCCACATATCTTCATTTCAATAAACTTATCATTTAAATATTTCATCTTCGTATTACTTGCTCAGACAAGCTTGTTATATCCTCATTTAATTTATTTCTGAGAAGATTCTTTAAATAATTTAATGAAAAAGCTCTTCAAATTCTTATGATGGCCTCATCTCTCGCATATCTCTTGCTCTTGAGTGCTTGATTAACATAAAAATGAAGTAATGAATGAAAATACTTTTAAAAACATTCAAGAGTGGAAAAACTCATTCAAATGTTATGACATTTTATTTTGTGTACTATCATTTCCGTGCTGGTTAATTTTTTTGGCGGGTAACTAGCAAAAGGCTCTTTGAAAATTGACGAAATTCAGAAATATGAATTTACAGGAGGTTTTTGACTGGAACTTTTCATTGGAAAGATTAAAATTGACTGGAAGCTTTGAATGGATCATCAAGGATTGTTGGAAATTTTAGAATGACTGAAAGTTTCCAATGGAATAATTTAAGACTGACTGGAAACTAAGATTCATTGGAAGCTTCCACTGGATACTAAGATTAAATGGAAGCTTCCAAATGGAAATAATACTCACTGGATGCTTCCATCAAAAACTAAGATTCACTAGAAGTTTCCATCAAAATTCCATTAATATTGCAAAAAAATGAGGTACAAAACTTATACTAATGCATCCCAAAATACCACAAAAAATCTGCAAACGACATTAAAATTTTTCTCGACTTGACAATTTTATGTCAATTCAATTCAAAATCGTTTTTGTGAAAGCTTTTCATGTAAAAACGGCAACACACAGATACATAATTCATGTGGTTAATGGATTATTTGCACAAATATAAAAACATTCCCGTATGTTGAATTTTTAAGCGGAAAGAAATTTTAATTAAAATTTAAATGTTATTTTTTCCTCTTGAGTGTGTCAATGTTTCATGAAAATCAATTAACAGGAGATAACAGCTACTTCGTCCGTAAACAAAATCATAATATTAAGGCCAACAGCGGTTAGAATAGATTTTTCTTTTGTCAAATAAATTTTCCCATCCACACAAATCTCGTCTCTTCCTGACTGAATGAAAAATTTCCATAAAATGAAATTGAATTTAAAATGTAATGAATAAATAACGAAATCAAAATTAAAAAAAATTTACAAAATGTGTTTTGTGTACAAAAAAATATTTGAGCAGGATGTTCTGGAATATATTTTATTTTTTTCGGGGGCGTTTGTTGATTTTCTGTTGATGGAAGGATAAACTTTGAGCTATCATGCATAATATTGCTGCAATAATACAGGAAATCCCAGATAGGATATCTGGGTCAATTTTATATATTTTCAGAATATTTTTATTTGAAGATGGACATAAGCTGGGTATTTTAAAGATGCTTCTACAGCAGAGAATAAATTTGAATTCTTATTAGATGTTTTGTTGACATTCAAGGACCAGAAAACTTGAATTTGTACTTTAAATGCTTGAATTCTGTTCAAACAACATTTTGGAAGGAAAATAACAAATTTTGTTACAGAAAAACTTGGTTGATTAAGCTTTTTAGCATTAAAACTGAAATTATAAGGGCTCGTTCACTTATGACGTCCATCAAAAAACCTGATTTTTAGACCCCCCTCCCTCCTCTGTCACAAAAATTCTATAGAAAAAAATTTCCATTGTTTGAACTGTCACAAAATCCTAGACCCCCCTCCCTCCCTAAATGTCGGACGTCATAAGTGAACGGCCCCTAATTGAAATTCTGAAAAATCTTTGTTTTCAAAATTTTTCATGTAAAACCATCATAATCAAGCTTTAAGTTTAGGGAACGTTCACTTATGACGTCCGGGGGGGTTGGGGGGGGGGGGGGGTCAGCAAGAAAATAACAATAGAAATTCCAGGAAATCCATTATTATTTTTTGAAAAATGAACGTTAATTTCGGACGTCTTAAGTGAACGATCCCTTATCACTTATTAGATTTTTCAATGCTAAATGTGCTAAACTTTGATAAAAATGAAGATCCAGGACAATAAGAACAAAAACAATAAAAATTTAAAATTTTCTGAATCTTGAAAGCATTTGTACTCAAAAATTAATCTAGAAAAAGTAAAACCAACCATAAAGTTCCCAGAAATTCCCTTCAACCCGTCCAAAAATAAAAATTTCCATAGATTAAAATTGAAAAGAAAAAAAGCAATAAAGCCCATTGTACTCGCACAAAAGAGTTGATCGCTTTGTTTACTTATTTGATGCCCAAAAGGAATGAAATTAAATAAAGCCAATCCAGTTCTGCGGAACGGTTCTATATTAATATTAAAATATAAACAAACAGAACGTGTATGTACTTTTAATTGAATGAAAGGAATGAAGGTATAAAGCACACTTATGACTTCCAAGTGCATGAGCATACCAAGCTTGTGTAAATATAAAATTAAATTAAAACTCATGAAGCAGAAAACGTTGTTGTGTGCGGAAGTAGGTATGCTGCTCAACCATTTTAATAATTTAAATTCACAGAGTAGAAACTCATGAAGTTTCCAATTAAATATTTAGAAATGAGATAAAAACATTTTCATGTACAATATTTTTCCTCTGTGCTGCTTTTTGTTCCTTTCAATCTTCGCCTTTACTCTAGCTAGCTTTGTTTTGTATTTCACTCTTGACATTACATGTCGTTGTCATATGTAAAATTTATGTTGAAACAGATTTGAGTATCTTTTTTTAAGCTAGCTAAGAGACTGAAAATTCAGCCATAAAAGGAACATGCCCTTATGTGAAAGGATGAGAGTGAGATGGGATGTGTAATAATCATATATCATGCTTCATACATTTATCATTATCATATTATTTGAAATTAATGGATCTAAGCATAGAAGTAAGAAGAGTTGAAATATTAAAATGGCAAGTTGGGAAGTCCTTTTTTGTGTAGGGTGCAAAAGCGCATTTGCTAGTAGAAAGGTAACCTTAAATATTTGTGAATAATACAGCTGCCATAAAATGGTTTAGATCCAACTTGAAATTGTTTCTAGAATCTCTAGTACTGACAGCCAAACAGACAGACAAAACCTTTCAATTAAATAACTTACAAGCAATAATGCGAGATATTAAAAGTTGGAATAGAGAGATATGTCACATATGGCACATATGAAAGATTGTTATGACTTTTAATAATGTATATGGATGTGACATACGCACACAAATCATTTCACATTCTTAATTGATAATATACAGATTATTTTTCTACGTGTCAATTCATAGTTGAAGGTATTCAGTTTAAAAATATTTTAGATGCAGTGCTACTTGATTAAATATTTATAAGCTTTAAATTTTGACAAGTTTAAGACCTTAATTGACAACTACCTCCACTAACGGAAATCCTACATTCCGTCTAGAATTATCGACATTTTATGTAGGATTTTGTTTTGTTCGTTGCGAAAGGTGCCTCAAAAGGTCAGACTTTGTTATCAAGAGCGTGACATTAGGTGTAAAAACAATTTGTCTCAAATTTACGGTAAAATTTGCATTAAAGGTTAGAATTTTTGTTTTGTGGGGTTTTCGATTAGTCTTTAAAACTTAAAAAATAAAATAAAAAATAAAAAAATTTCTCAAATAAAATTTTATTTTTTTTTCTCGTAAAAAATTGTGCAGTTCAACAAATCATATAAAAAAAATCTCTATCTAATCTAATTTTGGTTCCTAATCTACGTATTTCTATTCTATCATGTTCTTATGTTACAGTTTGATCCACAAATCGTTCACATTTTTCTCTTCATTTCCATAAAAAGTCTTTCAAAACAAAGCTTAAATATAATGAGTCAATCAATCATATTTAATTATCTGTATAATGTATAAGCATAAACAAGTTTATACTCTCGACAATGAGAGCATTTTATGACAATATTTGCATCTTTTATACTCAGCACAGCATCATGGCTATTATGGCTTTTAGGTTATATCCTGGCGATGATTTTGTATGAATTTTGCTGGATGTTTTGAAGGAAACTGCTGGGCTTTAAGTGTTGAAAGAGAGGTTGAAATTTTGATAGGTTCATCTTTTGAAAGGATTCAAATATACTTATTGATTTCTTAATTAAATTTGATTAGAGCAGCAAAAGCTTTAAGATTCTTGTGATAACTTGTTCAAAAACAATAGTTCTATTGATATTTACCATAAATTTATAAGGTTTGCTCAAATTCATATTTCAAATGTAAACAAATTTAATCTTTAGCAACAACAAGATAGATATTCAATCATTTTGCTTAAGTAGACGAATAGATTTGACTTAGCATACAAGACTCTTGATCCCGACTGTCAAGTGTCCAGTCAATTCCATCAATTTCACCACCGACACTCAGCAAAATCAATTCAAAATCATCACCAGGAATGTAATTTCAATAGAATGAGTTTCCGTCACTAAGAAATATTTAACGCTAGAGATTTTATTGTTCTTAATGCAATGATACTTATTACTAAACAAAAGGAATGAGGAAACCTTACAAAAGAAAGATTCCTTTGCATTTACTTCTATCTAAAAGGAAAAAGGAAAAAAAAGTCAAGCAAATTTCAATTAAATCCTACATTAAAGCAAAAGAACAGTGCTTATTGTTGGGGATGAGAGTGTAGCCCCAGCAAAGACATTTAAATTTTGATTCTTATTTTGTTGTGTTGAGTCACAAGATTCCATTAAAAATTACAAATTGTAAATTTTTCGAGATGATTCTCTTGAATGAGCTGACAAATCAGGAGCCGTCTGATGCATTTGAGGCGTCATTTTCCAAATCAGGCGGTGAGAGGAAGCGCTTTGAGTATGGGTAAGCTGCCTTGTTTTTAGACGTTGAAAAACATCCGGAGCTTAAGTGCATAGCTGATGATGACATTGATGATGAAGTTAATGGACCATTACTCGAGCCATTAGCACGTGATGCTTTTAACTTTAAGGATCTCATATTTCCGCTAGTTGATTGACCTTGCATCGATGATGTTGTAGGTTGGTCATCAACAATCAACAATGAGTTCAGTTCATATATATTACTTATAGTAATATCAGCCACGACACTGTTATCCTTTTGTTCAACTGGTGCTGGAAAATTCAATGGAATCCACACGCTCGCAAATAAACCAGCTTCAATTGCTCCCTTTTCAGATTTTTTTTATTTTATCACAGTCCATTTTCAATTTTTATATTTTTTTAAATTTTTTTTTCATTTTTTTTCATTCGTCACAGAAAACAATACAAAATTGTTTAAAGGAATTTATTTTAAAAACCATAAAAAATGATTTTTTTTTTGAAGAAGGAAGAAAATTTTTGCGATTAATTTATGAAATTTATTATAAATTTTTTTTTTGTTTTTGTGTGCTTAATGAATAATTTTGGTATTTGTCTTGATTCCTTACGTACTATGAGCTTAATTCTAGTATTAATATTCATATAAAATTATTTTACTCAAATTCAACAATGTTATGGGGATAGAAAGGATTTTGATGATGGAGGATTTAAAATAAAATAAATAAAAATAATGATTCTATTAAGTTTATATACCCACCATGATTTATGCGACCTTATTTTTTGGATTGTGCATATTATTTTTGTCTGTAATTTTACAGCCTTTGATTAAAGTATGGACATCATTTTGGGAAATTTCTGATGAAATTTATAAGGATGAATTATTGAGCTTTTGAATTTGGAGATGTGAAACTTACTTTTGGGACTATAATTGCTGAGCACTTTACTAGCTTTTAAATTATAACCTCAAATAAACTTAATTTTACTATCACAGATATTTATTGGAAATTCTCTTTAATTTTAAACCCTGAATTCCCAAAAATAAGCTTCAATCTCCAAAAGCACAAAAGGTAGAACCTGCAAGCTGTTAAACTAGGTACTTTTGAGAGAGAATACGTCGCGAAAAAAGTATAAATTGCATCAGCAACAATGCATAATATTATGACATTTGTAAATATTTAACAACTCGCAGGCTGACACACAGTTAACAAATCCCTCGCAATCTTTGAGTACATTTAATTCATTGACACTGTCGCATGGAGAAAAATTGCAGAACAGATTTACTTTGCAATTTAAAAAGTTTATATTAAATTTAAATTAATTGCAAAGCTTCTGTCTCCATTTTTAATTGTTTCAAGTGTTTGACTAACAATCAAAACAATTAAATTTAATGACTGTTATTCATTAAAAACTACTCCTTCATGCTGTGTATTTAAGAGAATGAAAAATTGATGGTGAAAGCTCTTGACAAACATTTCATTTTCAATGGAAACAGCCGGAAAGAGGAATAACGCGTTTTAATCCTTTTGGGAATGGACATTGATTTATGGCATTTAAGAAATGACTAGTTTTTTTTATCATTGAATGAGGAACAAGCATCAATGCTGTTTGCTAGGTTTAAGAATAATCAGACTTAAATAAGCTTTTAACACAGACACGATGGCTTATGCAAGTATATGTATAATCAAGGAGCCGTTCACTTATGACGTCCAGAGGGGGGTCAGCGAGAACAGAACAATAGAAATTCCTGGAAATCCATTGTTCTTTTTTGAAAAATGACCGTTAATTTTGGACGTCATAAGTGAACGACCCCCAAGTAGATATCCCAATATACAAGTCGGTTAATCGAAAATAAGCTAATGCTGCTGGCTCTGACAAGGTGCTCCGGCTGATTTAAATCCAGCAGCATGCTAGAGCCATATCGGCTTGGTATTCAGGATTTCTGATCGATTAAACGACATGTGCCATTCGGATACCAAGAATCCTCACAGATTAAAACTAGTTTAGCATGATTTGGTCGATATATGATATTTGTAGTATAGTAAGGATCTAGTGGCACATCTAGGTTCCAAAGCTATCATCGAGATAATCTATTAAACTAATATAACTGCGCTAGTTCTAACTTTCGAACAAACCACGACCACACAACTAACGTTTCATAATAATTTTTCATAGAATACACCACACATGGAAATTATGTGTATATATGAATTAAATGCACTCGAGTGCGAGCGAAAAGAAGAATTAAAATATGTATGAAAAAAGTAAATGGGAGAGAATAAAAACAATGAAATCAAATAAAACTTTTTAAACATCTACAGGATTTGTTTTCCATACAAAATAATGAAAGTGAGATAACAATTGTTATATCAACAGAAGCACGAATTAAAAGTTTTAATTTGATTTGGGTTTTCAAAAAAAAAAAAGAATAAAGTAATAATGCAAGACATGAAGCTCAAAAAAAAAATAAGAATGAGGAATAAAATCCTTAAAAATATCACAGCATAAAATTTAAATAATATATTTTTACCTTTATATCTGTATCTAATTTATCTCCAATCATAATGCAATTTTGGGGTGCAACGCCAAGATAATTGCATGCAGCATTAAATATTCTTGCATCTGGCTTTTCCCACTCGCAATCGCCCGATATTAAAATGAAATCGAACAGTGAATTCTTTCCCATGTTGAGACCCAGCTTGTGTATCTTCTCCCATTGTGCATTACTCGGTCCATTTGAGATGATGGCAAGCAGATAGTTTTTACGTAATTGACGCAACATCTGCACGAGTTCAGATGGTAGCTGGAGAAAATGATAACGGAATGACAACCATTGTTCGTAGACTTCGTAAGCCAAATGTTGATATTTTGTCGGTAATGCATTCTTCCAAAGCTCGGAGCGCCATTGATCGAGCGACATTGATGGATTATCTGGACATTTTCTGAATGCTTTTAGAAAGTTTCCTGCACAAAAATCAGCTTCGTCCTTCTGCATGCTATAGCCTTGTAAAAGCTCTGCAATCTGTTTTGCACATGCGGGAATTTTTGTCGTACAAAATCATTTATTAAGCACATTAATGGAAGAGAGAAAATTGGTAGTGACTAATTATTATTCATGCCTGAAAAATCTGTTTTATGTGAATTAAAAAAAGGTTTATTGTCAGGTGATTTTAATCTTATTGATGGTATTATGACTGCATACATTTCGGTATAAAAGAAATTAAATTGACGATATAAAAAAGGTATTTAGAATTCCACACATGATGGCTGAGTAGGTGGAATACAATTTAATGTGGAAATTTTTGTTTTGTTGGCTGTGGAAACGATTGAAGAATTTTGATTTTGTTGATTTATTCATGGCAGGTGCAATTTTAAGTAGGGATTTGACAACACCCCCGCAGGCTAGGACAGTGATTCATAATAGCAACCTGTCGTTGGAGCACTGATACGGTTTTATGGTCTAATAATACTCATTTATTGTTTATCTGCTATAGAAATCCTATCATGGATCCAGTTGTAGGCCTGGTTAAGCGCCAAATCTATTTCAAAAAATTCCTTTTTGAAAAACCTGCATTACATCCTAAATAGTAACAATAGAACTCAAAAAGCTCATTCCCAATAATTCCCTTCAATCATCATCCTCGCTTACAAATTTTTCGTCTCATTCATCACTTAGCGATGCATTATTAACAAAAATTTCCACTGTTCAAACTCGTTGAAACAAAATCAATACACATCCGATGACTAGAGAAATCCATTCAAATTTTCCATTACAAATGCAATCCATTTCCACTCCCCACATTTACTGCTTGTGGGAAAAAAAGCAATCGCTTCATTAAATTATACACTAATTTATTTCAAATCGAAATATTCGCGAACGTGATGATGTGGGGGATTGTGTAAAGCTTGGCTCATACAATTTTAAATGCAATTTCGACACAAAAAAAACCAGCTTGTTCGTATAGGATTTTTGCGAGTGTTGACAGCAGGGGCGTAGCCAGGTGGGGGGGGGGGGCGTAGGATACGAAAATCTGATAATTGTTTTATTTTATTAAGTATTTACATAGAAGAATCAGTTAATGTAGAGGAAGTGATGAAAAAAATGTCAAAATCAGCATGAAAAATTAAATTTATTGTATGAATAATGAATAAAATATTTAAACTTATGAAGAATGAATATAGATTTAAGGATACAAAATAACGATTTTTTAATTTTCGAAAATGCCCCCCCCCCCCCCTTAAAAATTTTCTGGCTACGCCCCTGGTTGACAGATTTTCATTTTGTGTTGAATTATGGAAATTATATTTTAAAACGCTTTTATATTTTTTTCAGGTTCTCACTAATTTTTCGAATGACTATGAATTAATTGTTGTCATAAAATGTGACTTTTTTGGTGTTTGATAGCTTTTATTATTTTTCTATGGTTTTAAAAAATTTCAATCTTTACACAATTAATGGATTTTGAGTTAAATAAATTAAATTGTTGCAGACAAAGTAAATATTATTACGTATTTAAATTAATTTAGTCACTTAAAATGTAATCAAAGGATATAAAATAATTTTGAAAAAAAGTAACGTATTTTATAAATTTGAATTTTTCATTTGTTTGAGATTTCGCATCAAAAAACGAATTTTTAGAATTTTTTGCATCACTTAACGGAAGTTATTCAAAAAATTGCATCATTTAACGAAAAATTTCAAAAAATGTTTACATTTCACGCCTTCAGCAAATTTAAAATTAATTCAGCCGTTAAAAATCAACATTCCGAATAAATCATTTTCCTCGCCAAAAAAATGAATCTTGAACTTTGCATTCACATTAGACAGATGACCACTAGACTCAAGGCAAATATTCATGTATGCATTTTTTTTTCCACAAAAGAAAATGCACTAAAAATAGCAAAATTACGTTCTCTATGAGAGAAACGCAAAAGAAGTGACTCTACACAATATGACGAATGCGGATTCTTTCCTGTTTATTTTTAAAATTATTTATCTCGAGTTTTTTTTTTCAATGTGACGTTCCTGAATCATGATGAAAACATGTGCTTGTTTTAGAAGCAACAACAAACAGAAAAGCTGTGTATATAGCAACATCCATCTTTAATTTTTCTCATATAGCTATATATAAGGTTTAAACGCTTACATGTAGCATGTTTATATGAGCGTAAAAAGAAGGAAAAAAAAAAAAAAACAGGCGAGTAAAAAGAAAAACACCTTCAATTTTCACATTTAGTGATGCATAATCGTAAAAGAAGCATGTAAATTCATGTGAGAAGCCATCTTCTCAATTTATTTACTGCATGACGTAATCTGAACTGAATTTTCTTTTCATACATAATTTCACTGTTAGGAAATAATAAAAAAAAAAAACATCTCAATGTTATGTACTCGATAATAAAAAGAAAGGAAGGAAGGTCGAGGAAGAAGAATATGAAAATGCAAATCTGTTAAAATATTTTTTAGTAAACATAAAAAATGTTTTTAAACGATTTTAATCCCCAAATAATTTCTTTCCCAAATCCATAAGTCGGTGATTTCTACAAACTCTCAGTGCATCAGCTTTTTTCAGTACGCCAGCAACGTCAGGATTTGCATCAATAAGCTGTGTCAGGAAATCTTCATAAGCTGACTTAACATTTGGCTGTAACGTTCCAATTCTGACTTTTTTGAGTGTGTCCATGATTCCCTCACACCATCCAGACTCCATAGCGAATTCCTGCATATGAACGAGGATTTATAGTTGATGAAAATGGAAGTAAAGATTAGACTAGTGCCAGAAAAAAAACCGTTAAAATTTGATAATTTTCAAAAAAAGACAGTTAATATTCAAGTTTCAAAAATCCGTTAAAAATGGCACTAGTCAAAAAATCAAGCAAGCACAACTTACGGATATCCAAGGTATTTGTTGAATAATTCCACTCAATGTTTGCATTCCGAGGAACCACAATTCAGCAATTTCATTCCAATATTCCTTATAAGTTATCGATACAACAAGCGCCTCCGGATCATTTGATTCATCGAGTGTGTAGGCGTCCCATAAAAATCTTATTGTAATCTGGATATAACGACATATCGAAAAATCATTTTTCTTTACTTTCTTCGATTGCTGTTTCAATAGCAATAATCCCAACACAGCAAGATGACCGAGTGTTACCAAATTCTCTGGTGTATCCTTAAATTCTGGCAGATTATTAAAGATGAATTTCAAGAGATTATTGAATGTTTCACTGTCCTCAACAAACTTTGCTTCCAAAACGGTAACATTCATGAGAATATTACAGGCACTAACGATAGCTGTACGTGAATCTTTCATAGCATCAAGTTGATATTGTGACAATTCAGGATCTGGTTCATTCATACGCTTTAAACGTTCAGCACGTGGAATTGGAGGTCGCTTATAATGCGCAATTGTCCAATGAAATGAAATAAAATCAAATAAGACATCTTCTTCCTTTGCCTTTAAGAAAATCTTTCTGCCTTCATCCTCAACAACCAAATGACATAATGCTGGCAAGAAGACTCTAAGCACATCAATCGGTGCATCAAGCTCGTCCGGATTCACACTTTTATTATCCAAATAATATTGACGATAATCATAAAATGTTTTATTTGACAGCTTTAGTACATGCGGTAAGATTTTATAGACTTGTGTACGCATTGCTGATGTTTCTTGTGCAAGCCATGCACTCAACACTCGAATCATTGCACATCCAAAGATTTTATTCTTACCATCAAGATTATCGCAGATTTTATCGTTGAATAATTTTGTTAATACGCCAAGAATGGCATTAAATGCACCTTTAAGTGCTGTATAAGTTTGTTGCTTCTCCTTTTGCTCAAAATCAAGCTGATCTGTTGCCATAAAGGTTAATGATTGTTCCAAAATTAAGAAACATGAGGTAATTAAGTCAGCATTATTGACACACTGCATGAAACTCTTACTATCCATTTGCATTCTCACTTCAATGGCTGCCAATTGAAGTAACAATAAAAAGAATTTCTTTGGATCTTCTGTATCCATTAATGTCCATTCAATGCCTAACAATTCAATTATTTGTGCTGTTAACTTTAATGCTGGATCACGTTGATTTTTTGTAATTCGACTCTTTAAGATGTCACAAATGCCTTTATACAATGTCTCGGGCCACATTTCACCCTCGGAACTTCTACGAATGAGATCATGACGACAGCTTAATATTAATGACGTAAGAATATCGCACAATTCAAACTTTCTCTCACTCGTATCCGATTGAAAGTCTAATGAGAGTCGTTGCATTAAGTCATGAAATGATTTTGGATCTGTGTCCCATGCAGTCGCTCCGAAATCATTAGCAAGTGTCACTAAGATGTTAAGAGCTTCGTCTGTCTGGAAACTTTGTTGTAAATAGATTTCTGACCATTTTGTTAATCCAGCGACATTTAAAAGTCCTTTACGTCCAACTTCGTACATTGCGATGCTTTGAAGACAGCTGTAAGCCTCACTTACAACAATTAAGCTATCTGCATCATCGGCTGTTTGGACAATTTCGAGAAAAGTTGGTATATTTGATATCATGTCTGAATGTGTGGCTAATTCTTCGTCTTGACAGAAACATGTCAAAATTGATAATGCAACACTTTTATAAACTAGCGCTGGACAATCGTCTGGCACCTCATTGCTTGTCAATAACTTCTTAAGGAAATCAAATCCAATTGCCTCAAATAGAACACGTTTTCCTGCTTTCGTACAATCCTTCGACTTCACTAGCTTCGTGACCATAAATAATGCTGCAAACTTTTCCGTGTCACTTTTTGCTGATTTTAGAATTGCTGCACATTGCTTTATTGGTTCAGATACCTTATCAGCCATTTTTCCTTAATATTTGCTTTCAGACTGTCGTGAATATCGTTCAAATTTTCCGGCAGCTCACAAAAAACTAAGATCCGAGTGAGTTTGATGATGAATATGTTCCCTTTTGTGCGAACACGAAAAGATTTTTATTTTTAGATATTTTTTCTACTTCTCTCGTATGGATGATGTTAAGAACTTACACACAAATGAAATGATATTTGAGAGTAAAACCCACAGAAAGTGTTAAATTAGATTATTTTTTGATATTAAATTATCAAATTAAATTTATTTATTTGACTGGATCTGACTTTTGTGAAATTTTCACTGACTTTAAAGAATATTTGTGGATAGACAACAGGCTTAAAGAAAGGTTAAAGCACTTTAAAGACTCATTTTTGCTGTAAGTTTACTCAAAAAAAATCTTTCATTCGTGCGATGATCGGATACTCACGGGATGGATTATTTATTTAATGAGACGCAAATACAAGAGAAGATAATATTTGTGTAAAGTACTCAAAACCGATGATTTCGATGCCGAATTCTAATTCTGGAGAGATGATGTTGAAGATTTTATTCGTTTACAATCGTCGTTGTCTTTATTTCTTGCCTAAATTATGTTTTTCATTTTGTATCACGCTTTATTCATTCTTATATGCTTACTTTCAGTTTAATTATGATCGTTTTTATCTAATTCTAGCGTTTATTTACATTCGTTTAGCCAAATGATTTTCTTTCATTTCCACACGTTTGATTTGCTGCATTTGGTCGATTTTCCTTAAATAGAATATGATATGATCAACCTTTGCTCTTTGTTGATGTGATTTTCTCGCTTTTTCACTGACTTTTCTTGATTTTTATTTTCACAAATCGCGTGTTTATGTTTATCCTGAGTGTTAGCACTTGTTTGAATAAACCGTTGGAAATGTTTATGTGTCTGTCTGGCCAGACATTATTTTTGCATTTTTTAACGGGTTTATGGATTAAAATTGATAGATTATAACAACAATTAACATATATTAAGCTTAATTAAATTTAAAAGTCTAGTAAACTGTTTGAAAACAGACTATAATTGACCCATGAGCGACATTGGATTGCCTCATTTTTTCATGGACAAAATTTGAATGTTAAAATACCGTTAAAAGAGATATTTTTTATAAAACGAACTTAAACCCGTTATTAATTATAATACGCAGTAGGACATGTGCTTCTTCCAATCAATAACATCATGCAGTGATGTCTTCCTTACTTCCTTTTCATTTCATCGAAATGTGATCGAAATTGCATTGCATAAAGAGCTCGACTTCTCAGAAATTTTAAAATCAATAATTAACTGCTTTAATCACGTTAATCATCATGTTTTGTTTTCAATAATATTTATTTTAATTATATTCAATCCAACTGATAATGTTGCGTCAGTCATGAAATCATCGAAATGACATCAATAAGATTAAATTTTTAACTCTCTTAAAACCCATGAAACAAGCTCTTATCAGCTGTAAAATAATTCTTAATGACTTTATTACCTTGTTGACAGCTTTCACATCAGCCTTTCTTGTCTGGATTAGAGTATTATCCATATCAAAGAAAATAGCATGAATTTTACTCGAGAATTTGACATGATTTCGTCCATAAAATGCAGCCATAGAATTGCTATAAAACTTCACAAAATTTCAATTCAACAGAAACTTAATTACAATAAATGACAGCACAATTTTTCTGGTAACTGATGAATTCTGAGAACTTTTTAAGACAATTTTTTAATAATTTATAATTTTTTCAATTTCTATTGCGTTTCCTTTCATTTCATCGAATAAGTCTCATCGGAGAGTTTTTCTTTATTTTTTGCGGGAAAATTTGAAATTCTAGATCTGTGCGTGCTTTTGGAGCAAGCTAGTTTTGAAATGATTCTTGATTGAATTCTCTTTGAACCTTTACAAAACCAAATTGACAGACTTCAAAGTTTCAATCTCAAAGATCAAATCAAACTCATTCTCAGAAATGTGTGGAACATACCATAACATTCCTAAACCTACGTCACATTATTCCGAAACCAAAATATTCCACCAATTAAAAAATTATGATTCATAAATTTATGATATTCACAACGTCACAGCAATTTCATTGATTGCACGACACAGCATATTTTGTACACAATAAAATGTAAATGCATTTTGTTTTATTAACGCTTAGAGCTCTTAAGTTTCGCTTAAATATTAAACATACTGCTGAAGTTGCACGATAGCGTGAAATTATTGTAATCAATTCAATGTAAAAAGCTTTTTATGCAGAAAATAGAGAATAAATTGATGTGAAATGGCACACCTAAAAAGTCAGGCACGATATTTTGTTAAACGCAGAAAAGTGTTTGAAAATAATTAATTTTTAAGTAATTGATTGACGCAAATGTGCAGAAATGAATATTGAGAAGCTATAAATTGAGTTCTAATAACAATTGAATGTTAAAGTTGAGATATGGAAGATTTTGAAGCTGAGTGATGCATTATTATCAATTAAATCTAGTCAAGACTTAAACTTCATCATTAGCTTATCAAAATCAATTAGTTCAGCTTTAGATTCCAATAACTTTGTTTACACTTGTTCATACATGAATTTGTTGCTTCATTAAAATCAACAATAGAATTCTATTGAAATGTAAATTAACATCATTATCATAATAAAGGAACTCAATTATTTCGATTCCGTTTAATGCTATTAAGCTTTAAATTACTCTAATTTCAAGCGATCACTTTTTCCTTTCATTACAAAGCATTCATAACCATTAGAAGGGTCGAATTTCCTTATTTTTGGAGGAATCTAGAGAAGTACTGAAATGATTGGGGTTGTTCACAAATCACGTTCAGCTTAAGTAGCTAAAGAGCAAGAAATGTTGAAGTTAGAACCATGAAAGAATCAAAACATTCAAACTTCATTTAGACATTATTTAAAAAGAATCCTTTCAAAAGAAGGTTCGATATTATTGAATTTTATACAGTTTCTCATTTGATTTTCATTTTTCAATCAAATAATCAATAGGAACGAACATAAAAAGCTGATGAATATTTCATAATCTCTTCCCTCCTTTTTCTTTTTCTTTTTTTGTGTGTTTCTAGACCTTTTTGACTTATTGTTTCTAATGCTGGCAATCGATAATGTATTCTGTTAGACTTTTTGGCTCTTAAATGCAAATTTTCGGAAATTTTAAACATTTGAGCTAGTTTTTTTTCTGAATGGACGGGGAAATAAATACAAAAAATTTCCTTAATGGCACTCAAAGCTCATAAAAGTTTTCCTTAAGTATATTGACTTTTCAATTTTCAACTCATTCAATAGAGAAGAAAATGCTAATTGAAAAACTTTTTTCAATTTTTCTTATCTCTCGGAGATGAAAAAAATTAAGTGTTGATGAGTTGAGGATGGTTAAAAGTCTGTAGTCATGATCTATTCTATTCTATTTATACAGAAAAGTTCCTTTAATATTCCGTTTCTTGTAAATTAATTATGAGAAAGTGGTAATTGAGGTTCTAGTCGAAAACTTCTGATTTTTGAAGCTATTTTGAGAACAGAAAGTTTCTGTTTGAGTTTGAGTTGGGTTTGTTCTTATTTGTTGATCTTAAAATATCTTTTGAAGTTTATTTTCTAGAATTATGAATTGAGACAGCCAAATTTTTGTAAACAATAATAAATTGATTAAAACTTTCATGCTATTTTTATCAACTTTAGACTTTCTAATCAATGATTTGAGATTGATAATGATTTTTGCCGTGTTTTTGTATCAAATTGAATTTTTCGATAATAGAATAATAATAAATTAAACTTAAACTTTCAAATAATAAAATTTCTAGTGATAAACAAAATGGCACAATTTAGAAATCTTTAAAATGTCAATATTCATAGTTTTTGGAATGCCTTGAATTTAAATCTTGTTGACCTTTCTAGCTTCAAAAAACTTTTTCCTAATTTCCCAACAAAGATAAATTATAAGGCATCATTCAACATGAAATTGCCATCCATCCTACACGAAAATGAACTTAAAAGCTCCTCAAAATTTGAATCTAAACAAGTTTTCCTTTTATGTGAAAAGATCAAGACATTAAATAGAAAAACAAGATGGAATAATGATGCAACATCAAAAGTTCAGCTTATTTATTCACATGATGAAGACAAACTTTTCAATAATGATTTGAAGCATACTTACAAGTTTCTTCGATATCATCATCGCTTTCTTGATTCCCACCTTCATCCTCCCTTAAACAGAAAATAATACTAATAATAATCAAAGGTTGTATTTTATGTTGTGTAAAAGAAGATTAACAACGCCCAAAGCAATTTTAATAATTTCAGACTTACTAGATTTAATCTTAATCATGAGGACGGAAAAATCTGTGATGAAAATGCCATTTACTAAAATAAAATAAGAATTAATATCTTACTATAGCCTTGCTATTTAGTTCCTAAAACATTGTAAATGGCAATAATTTCCTTTTTTGGACAGAATGAATTTGATTAAAGTTTTTTTGTGCTACTTGGGGTGACTACGTATATTATTATTACGAACTAATAGAACCAGTTTTGAGATTACATCTTATAAAAGGCGTATCTGGGCAGGTTGATCGGTACTTCTTAGGATAAACCTTAAAAAATTCACTAGCTTTGTTCCTACAACTCAGTCTTGAGGAACTAAAAGTGGGATACTTTTTCAAGCTTCTAAAAATCCTAACCATAAAAATTAAGTCTAATACCTATTATAAAAGCATTCCTCTATATAATCCATGCCAAAAATTACAATCCTCAACTGCAAAAGAGCTTTCCGTATGTACAAGATTGAATACTTTTTCCAGTAATTCATAAAATTACTGAATGGGGAAATAAGCATGCTGAATGTAAGAAAACGAGTGGAATTTCCCATTTGCAGTTAAAAGGAAGAAATCAGGCTGTTCAACAATTCATTCTTGTTATTTAAACCAACATAATTTTTCATTTTTTCCTTTCTTGCAATAAATTGCCGTACATACATTGTTGTTATGCTCATATATGAAATAATGTATGTATACAGCATTAATAAATTGATTGTGGCACATAATTTTTTTTCCTCGTCTCTCGACTCTGAGTCTTAATACTTTTAAACCATTATTGTTGTATTTATCTTATTCTTTTTGTCTCATAATAATAAAGATAGGATTTGCTGCTGGATCTCTTCCGGAAAAAATTATTCTTAATATGTAGATGTTGTCGTTCATATATTACATTGGAGTTTGAGTACAGTTTGGAACTGATCCTTTTTGGAATTACTGCTTTTGTATGTAAAGCATTTGTGAGCTTTTATATATTAATGTTGTTCTTAATTTTGTTGTAAAACTTTGGTATTAAGTAGTCTAAATCAAGGAGTTTGGATGTGGAAACTGTTTTTTTCATTTGTAAAGAATAAAACATACCAATCTAGCTAGTCTAGAGACGTTTTCATAGACTAGCTAGTTGACTACTGTAAACTGTAAATCTTCAATAATCAAAATATTTGACAATAAATTTTGAAATGTTCTCATCCAGAAAATTCCATTCTCAATTTCAAAACCAATTCAAAGGAAATGCCACGCGCGCTTTATAGATCAAATTATCGACATTTAAAATATTCAGATCGTATTATGATATTTGATTGAAATTTAATACCGCACAGCAGCAGTCGTGTAATATTAAAAATCAATTTCCTTGATATGATTTAAATTTGATAGTAAAACTTTTTCTTTCTTGTTATTCTTTTTTTTTGTAAAGTTCAAGTTTCGAGAATTCAAAAGCTGAAATGTATTAAAAAAACTTGTTAACCTTAAAACCAAAAAGCTAGCAAAGATTTTAGTTTGTATATACATTTCATTTTGACAGATGTTTCAAAAAATAAATAAATAAAGGATATATATGAGACTATTGAGAACATTAAAAAGATTTATTATATGCTGCAAAAAAGGCAAGAATTTCCTTCTATTTCTTTTCTTTTCATTGATCCCTATGGTTGAATTTTAATTTATAATCCTGTCACTTTGGTTACATAATTTAGTTTATAGAATGGCCACCTTCATAAGATGTCAATAAAAAAATGCTTTATGTGATCTGTAAAGTAAATGATATAAAAAATTATACGAGACTTTTTCCGTCCTAAAACTGCTTGACACTCAAAAATTTGTGAATAAAAGTGGATAAGGGGTTTTTAAGCCAACATTGTGATAAGATTTGGAGGTTTTACTGATTTTGATATTATTTCAGAGAGTGTTAAGAGGGGTTGTTAACTGCAGTATGACTTTCAAAGTACATAACCTTAAATCTTTGAAAACAACTGAAAATATCTTAACTAACCTCAAAATACAGATAACCTTATAAATTTTATACATTGCAAATCTACACAAAATAATTCTCAAGGCCATAGAACTCCCAAAATAGTATAGCCAAGTGTGAGCATTGTGCAGTAACGTATACAAACTATTGAGTAAAATTAAGTTAATATGAGCAAAGTGTAGTTAAATGTTGTAAAGTGAAGCAAAGTAAACCAAAGTATAGTAGAATGTAGCAAAAGAGTAGCGAGTGTAGTTTAGGTATAGTAAAATGTTTTAAAAGTATAGTCAGTATAGTAAGAGTATAGGAAGTGTAGTAAAAGTATAGAAAGTGCAGCGTCCTAAAACTGTTTAAAACTTTAAAAACCAAAATATTTAAAGTTGATGTGCAATAATTTTGAAATAATGCATATTTTACCATACCATTTATTTATAAATAGTCAATATTATCACAACTTAAGAACCGCTTATTATTTGAAATTTCATGCATTAAAATTCTTTTAAGTCTTAAGAAAATATTAACAAAGATAAAATGAATCTTTTCTCATATAAATAAAATAAAACTTTTAAACTAAATTCAAATATTTCAACATTAAGGATGTCTTTCAAATTTCGAAGAAAAGTAACGAAAGAAAAGTGCACTCATAGAAATAATTGTATGGTTTTGAGGAAAATCAAATATTCAAATATTTGATTTTTCCGATTTATATGAAATTTCAAATATTCGATATTTGGTTTTTTTCCAAAACTATACAAATTCTAATATTTTTTCTATGAGTGTGAGAATCAATGTTTTTGATATTGTTGGTTTTAGGGAAAATGAAATGTTATCAACACTTTTGATATTTATTTTTTAAAAGTTTGTTGGAAAGTTAATCTTGTTAAAATAAAAAACTAGCATATTATAAAATAAATTTAAAATATTTCGATTTTGAAATGCCAATAAATTGAAACTAATTTATATCAAGCTTGTTGTTATAGTTTTTTTTAAAAATTTAAACTTAATACAAATTGTCCTTATTAGTTTTTTTTAATGTAAGGTTGCATGAAAAAATCAAATTCGAGTCAATTCGAGAAGAAATTCTTAAAGCTAAAGCAAAATTTTTCATAATTTTTTTATAATTATTAAAAAACATTTCTTCTGAATTTTAAAATAAAGTTTTCAATTAAATCAAAAGTACAACATTTCAGGTTTTTTTTTAAATTTTTCACTTTTTCTATACTATAATAGTTTAAATTCTATATATATAATATATATATATATATATATATAGTTATTTTTGACAAATTTCCTTACAAACTTAAGGTATTAATTAGAAACTTCTTTGGCACGAATGAAATAATTTCTGCCTTAGCAGCATTACTACTTTATGTTTTTGTAAGCTCTTTCTTTTCCATCAGCTAAATTTGGTTTAAAATGATATACAAAAGTAGGAGTAAAGTGCACTAAAGTGTAGTAAAGTGTGAAAAATTTAAGCTTAGTGTGGTAAAGTATACTAAAGTATAGTAAAGTAAAGTAAAGTGTAGTAAAGTATAGGTTAGTATACTTAAATATAGTAAAAAGAAGTAAAGAGGAGTTAAGTGCAGTAAAGTTTAGTGATTGCAGTGATTGTGATACATTGTATAGTAAGTGTACTGAAACATAAGTAAAAATTTGTAAAGTTGAGTAAAAAAGTAGTGATTGCAGACATAGTGCAGGGAGTTCTATGACCTTGATAATTCTAATGTTCAACAAAAAAAGATAAAGCATCGAAAGTTTGTCATAACCTCACATTTCCCGCCAAAAAGCATCTCTTCCTGAACATTACACCGAAATAATCCCATTTTGTGAAACCCTAGCTCGTTCTTCCTGAAAACCCAAATTGCTACTGAGCTGTAAATGATATACCGTCGACTTCTCACACCACTAATTCCTTTCATGAGACTATATCGCTTTTCACTTCCATCCTTCCTGAATACTCGTCATTCATTCATCAATAATAGAATGTGAAACCCTTTTTTTGTAGCTTGTTCTTAGTCTTCGAACACTTTTTTTTCTAAATATAGCAAAAAATAAAATTAAATAAAAATCTAGGTCAAAAATGAGGAAAGGGAAAAATCATGAAATTGTTCCCTCCTCTCTTTTTCTAGCCGATAATAAAGTATGAAGTAAAAAAGGTACTTTGCATAGAATTGATGGTGATGATGATGTTGCCTCATTCCACTATTTCTTCAATGTAAATAAATCTTTCACTTCTACTTCTCTATATTCATTTCAAAAGAGACTAAGAGAAGAATAAGATAGTAAAGGTCATAAAAATTACCTTTAATAGAAAAACTCATGAAGATTTACTTTTTTTTGTTGCTTTGCCAAAACTTTGAATAGCTTTTTCGAGAAGGGTTGAAGATCGAGCTTTTGCGAATGACTTGATAGAAATATTGCTGTCCTTTTTTTGTGTGTCCATCGTGGGGTTTCTATTGATTGTGGATTAAATGGTTTGCATGAAAAAATATAAGGAGGCTTGTGATGGCAGAGCTAGTCATATTCAAGCTTTTGTAGGATTCAGACAGATTCGGTTGGTTTTATGAAGACCGATACTCAAATTGGAGTAATAATTATCATAAGCAGGACTTTAAGACTATTCTTTGAGTTAAAGATTGAGTTGGATTTATTATTGTATAACTTTAATCTTGTTGGTTATTCTGGGATCGATCTTACGACCAATCTTCCTAAGATTGAGCCAAAAGAAGCTTCCATAGGAATTAGAAACTATGTTCCTAATTTTTTATATTCACACCGTTTTCACGTGTGAATCTATTGGTTTTGTTCAGATTGAAAAATCAGTTTTTCGCATTTTTGATCTTTAAAGTTAATCATTCAATAAATCTATAAGAAGAAACTTCAATCAACATGAAATAAAATCAACAAAAGCTTTAGTCGAGCTTTAGTTCAAATTAATGAACTATAATGAGCCAAACCCACATCAAATTGATATTGTAAAGACCTATCCTGAATTATTCCGTCAATCAAAGCCTACACACAATATAGACAGTTAGTTAAAAACTTTGCAAGCACATCAATCGAATCTCTTCGTGCTAAAATAGAATATTCAATGAGTAAATTACACTTCCACCTCCACAGACAAGTAAGCAAGCAATTATTTGCACTTAATCAAATTTTCACACACACGTGTAATGAATCAGTCGAATTATTTTCTTCAGCATATCCAATATTTGCTATTTATTTTGTTATTTGGCAAATTTAACACGAAACTAAACCCTAACTCAATGGAAAACAATTTCCATAGATAACTTTTGAGTATCATTGGGGGTTGTTCATAAATGATGGGAATTCAAATTTAATTTTTTCAAGGATAGAGGAGCTTTAGACTTTCAGAAAAAGGTCCAAATTTTATTCTCGATAGGTATCAAACTCCTCCATCTTGCTTTTTGCTAAGCTTCTGTTTGAGATAAGTTGCGAACCCCTTCAAAAGCTCTTTTAAAGAAACCAATTAAATTTAGACATCATTTTTGAATGACTCCCTCATAAAAAATAATCACATCAACTACCAACGTATTTTTCGGCATCAATAATATTGTATACACCATATAATTACATGTCTGGAAAGTTTCCATAGAAAATTCTCATTAATAAACGCATCATGTCAAAAAATATTCCTTTTTCTACGTCAACATTTGTTTATGATATTTATATATTCTCGAGCAGTATGTTGGCAACAACAATATTTTTTTAAGAGCAATAGATACGAGCTTCAATGTCTCATTTTTATCATATCGAGTAGATTTTTGATGTCATCAAATATAGAAAATTTTGTGTGACGCATACGTAACATCGCATGTCTGTTTCATTATAGTGTAACTATGTGGAGAAATGCTCAATATTTTTATACTTTATTTTCGTTTCGTTGCGTGCTCTCAATTGTTGTACGCTTGACGATTTTTATTTAGAGCTTTCAGTGGATGCTTTTAGTGTTCTTAAATTAAGTATAGATAATGGCTGTTCGTCGGGACATTGAACTCATAAATGGTTGAAGAATATTATTGAGTTCTTCAATTTGCTTGAGTTCTTGTCAATTTAATGGGAGGAATTACGGTCGTTTCTTGTTGTTTCTAAGGGCACTTTTAGGTTAAAAATGAGGACAAAGAGTCAGTAAGTAGCTTTAAGTTGCTACTTTATTCAGAAAGGAGATTTTTTTTAAATGTACAAGCGATTGGTAATCAAACTTTGCTCCGAGACACTTCAGAAGCTGGTTTCTTGGCATAGCCATCGATGAAGTCTAGGACATGACTAAGATATGTATACACCAAGAGTACGTAGTGAAACTAGTGACATTATGTAAACTAGGTAAATATCTTCCCTAAGCTGACAAAATAATACATCAGAGAGTAGTATGCATGAATTGGCATCAATTTACATATACCGACTATATCAAGCATTCGAGAATGAAACAAATTAAGGATCATTCAGAGATATGGACTACATAATTCACCCAGAGACTCACTCTAGATAATTTACAATCACTTGTGATATTAAAAGCATCATAAAGGCTTCCTTTCGAGGCTACATATATGCAAGTCATTAAAGGAGTGGTTCTCTAGCGGTTAGACAAGCTATAGCTATTTTATGAATATTAATATTATAAAGAATATTTAATTTATGGTCAAACTGCATTTGCACTTTGTGATTCTCATAGTTTTATTTTTTTTTTAATAGAATTTAAAAATAAAGTTTTCAAAGCTTTTTATCAAAAAGTAAATATACAATTTTAAGCACAAGACCAGATATCACAGTCACAGCATAAATGAGGATGATTCAATTTAATCCTTTTTTGCTTTATAAAACACAAAACCCCTTAAAATCAAAACTTTTTTTCTCTTTCTCTCTCTGTTTGCACATTTAATGGGAAAAAGTTGTACGCTTCTCAGCAAATTAAAAGAACCAAAAAAAATTATTTTTTACACACGGAAACCTTTCAACTTTTCAAAAGCAAAAAAAAAATCTTCTTAAAAACCACAAGGAAAGTTTTTCTTTTTAAGCCGAAAGGATTTTTATATGTATACGCTTTTTTATGATCCTTTTGTAAATACATTTTCATACCAAAAATAATAAAAATGAAGGAATGAAAATAATTTAAACAATATCATCAGAGATAAAGGAAGATGTACACAAAATGATGGAGGGGAGGGAGAAAGAGATAAAAATTGAGGAAGATAAATTGAGTTTCTTATTTGAAGTGAAAACATCAAAAGGACATTCACTTCCTTCTTAGTTAATGTAACAATAGCATGACTTTATTTAATTAATTTTGTTTTATGACTGTGTCTGCTTGCAATTTTCCCCCCTTTTAGTTTTTTATAAAATTGACACTTTGGTACTTGTTTTGTCTGACTGGCCATCATTCACAATTAATTTTGACTGTTTATTCAAATATATTTTGATTATTTTTTTTTCAAATTATTCTTCGATCTTAAATAAAACTCAATTTCCAACCCTTCGCGAATATTTCTTCCCTTCCATGTTTAAGGAGATTATCATAATTCTTTCCTTACCTTTATGAACTTGATTCTTGCCTAGCATTATAAAGCAACCCCTTTTTTGAACTCCGTAACTGTGTATATAATTAATTAGGTAATTGTAAATTAATAGTCAAATACAAATGCTAATTATGAGTGTGGTCTGCGTGGTTTCTTATTAAATGAGATGCAATCTAAATCTTGAACCGTTATTTATAATTTACAAGAATTGTTGTTCCTAATTAAATTCGTCAATTTGCATAATTTTTTTATTGAGACTGACCATGTCACTCATTAAGCTTGATTAACAACCAACAATTTTCAAACTTTTCTTGTTAGAATAATGCTGTAATTGAAGAAGTATGTAGGATGTTTTAATTCATCTCAAGTTGCTTGATTAATTTGAACTATTTATTATCATCTTCTGGTGAAACTTACAAATTTGGACGATTTGTGATTACAATCCTGATGAAAAAAGGTCACTTAACGAGCGAAGCTTTAATTAATTATACCTGGTCACATTACTTCTTGAGGATATTATTTTAAGTTGGCGAGATTCTTCTATTGGAAAGAAAGTTTCAATTTCAATTTTTTCCGCAGTTCTTTGCCTGCAAAATGATTATAAACAATGATTCTCAAATTTTCGATTATCCGTGAAGATTCCTGAAGACAAATTAACATTTAATTCTTTGCTCATACTTTTGTAATACTTTTTAATCATAATATGAAGGAAAAAGCACATAAATCAGCCAAAAATTAAGTACAAAATTTTGAAGTGAGAATTTTTTTTGAAAAAATAAAATAAAATTGTGTTTAGATAAGATTCAGACTACTATTGACAATACTAAGTACTGTTCCTTTAACAAAGGATAACAGAAACATGTTTCGGACCATTTGAGATTCCCACTTTCTGTAAAACTTGTTCCAATGTACTGCATCTAGATAAATTTACTCTAACATTGACACTTCTATCTCTTATTACAGTGAAAACTAGTTTCAAAAAATTAAGATAAAAATAAACAGAACAAAATAATCTAAGCACTTACTTTAGTAAATCCACAATTCTCTATACTTCAGCAAAACACAAAGTTTGGTTTAGAAATTCATTCTCAAGTTTCAATATATTTGAGTGCAGTTCTAGAAAGTTCATTAAACTTTATTGTAAAAATACCGAAAAGTAATTTACTAAAATGTATCGTTAAGGATGTGGCATTTCTATTATTAGATAGTAAAATGTTCATTTTATTTCTATTTTTGTATATTGTTGATATTAATTTTACCATTCAAAATAATGATGAGTAATCAATCGATTCCTTTGTGTATATTTTCAAAAATAACATGACTAGTCATGGATTTTTGGCTTTTGTATGCAATAGAAAATCAGCACAAGTATTTATATAACAATAATGGCATAATATACATGATAATAAATCTACATCTTATTACTGAAAAGGTCATAAATACAGAAAAAAATGATTATCCAACGAAAAGACTTCATAACATTCTGTGCCTACAAAACCATCATGAAAAAAAATCTTCTTATATGCTTAACTCACATAAGACGCGTACATCTAATAAAATATTCCTTTGGGAAAATGCGGCAAAAATCAGAGTAATGTTACAAAAGACCTACTTTTTGAGTCAAATTTCAATATTCATCATATAAAATTTTTATTATATCCATAATTTATTCATGAGTACATGAAGAGAATTCCACGAAACATGTTTTTATACTTTGCATATCTCCCTTTGTTACCTTTATGTTCTTTTCTTTGGGTATAATGAAGAAAAAATTTATTGTCAAGATAAAATTTTAGCTGACTGCAGCATCTTAGCTTAATTATTTGGTTCAACTTGTAACACAATTGGGGAATATTTGCGTGTGTTCATGTATGGATATTGTGAATATGTTGTTTGTTTTGAATTTTCAACAAGTTTAGGTAGTATCCTAGATTCTTAAACTGAATCTAACGTTTGGAAAATATGTAATTTATTCCAGTTTTAATTATTAAGGACTCTAGCATCGTTTTCAACTTAACCAAACTGAACCTAGGTTTAAGATTCGAATTAGATGCATGAATCCTAAATAAATTCATCTTAACTGTTCTAAAATCAAACTTAGATTCACAGTTTAAGATGCAAACCAACTTCTAAGCTATCAATGCTTTTCCATTCCTCAAAAAAATAACTTTAGTTCTAAAAAGTTAAAAGAGAAAAAAAAATTGAGAGAATTTTCTCTCAATTGAAAAAAAAATAATTTGAACAAAAAAAGTAAATCGTCCTGACAAGATACAGAATGAAAGGATATCCGTCAGTCTTATTTCAAACGCTTGCGTGTGTAAACCTCTTTTGAAACGTGTCGTGCTGTGGTTAGAACTATTTTTTATTTTTATATTACATGTATAACTTCATTCAACTCCGATAAATTTTGTGGAATATACGCTCAATATAAAAATAACTATTGAAATATTTATGCGCAATCTGACAATTGGAATAAGAAATGTGGATTGAATATTCTTTTATGGCTGTTCATTTTTCATCATAAAATGATAGTTTTTCTAACATTGTTTGTCAGACGAAACTTTGAAAGTTGAAACTTTTATTTCTGTAA